GAATGGGGCAACTGTGCCCCTGAAGGACCAGTGCTCATTTTGGACTCACAGCTGTCCATGGAGGCGCAGGTCAATCCTGTGTCAAGGGCAGCTGTGTGCCAGCTCCATCTGGTACGCAGGATGAGACCCTCCCTGCCTGCTGTTTGTCTGGCCAGAGTGGTGCATGCTCTGGTTATCTCCTGCTTGGACTACTGCAATGCGCTCTACATGGGACTACCTTTGAAGATGAGCTGGAAACTACAACTAATCCAGAATGTGGCAGCTAGACTGGTGACTGGGGGCGGCCACTGAGATCACACAACACCGGTCTTGAAAGACCTACATTGGCTCCCAGGACGTTTCCGAGCACAATTCAAAGTGTTGGTGCTGACCTTTAAAGCCCTAAACGGCCTCAGTCCAGTATATCTGAAGGAGCGTCTCCACCCCCATCGTTCTGCCCGGACACTGAGGTCCAGCACCAAGGGCCTTCTGGCGGTTCCCTTACTGCAAGAAGTGAGGTTACAGGGAACCAGGCAGAGGGCCTTCTCAGTAGTGGCGCCCGCCCTGTGGAACTCCCTCCCAACAGATGTCAAAGAGAACAACAACCATCAAACTTTTAGAAGACATCTTAAACGACTAAACAACGACAACGAAGGTTCAGAAGCACAGATGTGCACAGGACCTGAGGTTTTGCGATACTTTAAATCCAGAGTCCGATCTGCTCAGCTGAGGGAAGACAACTTTATCCTTTGCAACGTGGAGAATAATGGCAGCATTTTAGACTTTTCAGTTGAGAGAGAAGGCAAGTAAGAGGTGCCGCGATAGAAATTTATAAAATTACGCCTGGCATGCAGAAAGTGGTCAGGCCGGAGAAGTTCTCCCGCTCCCACAGCGCTAGAATTGGGGGGGTCTCCAATGAAGCTGAGTGCTGGAAGATTCAATACAGATTAAAGGAACGGCGCAGGATGCTGTGGAACTTCCTGCCACAGGCCTAGAGGGCTTTAAAAGAGGGTGAGACAAATTCACAGAGGAGGAGAGGGCTCTCGATGGCTCCTTGCCAAGACGGCTGCCCTCCACAATTGGAGGCCGCAATGCTTCTGGGTCCCAGTTGCTGGAATCCACCAGAGGGGAAAGGGCTGCTTTGCTCAAATCCTGCTTGCAATTTTCCCTTGGGGGGACTCTGGTTGCCCACTGTGAAAACAGGATGCCGAGGAATTAAATTTACAGCATGTAATGTATTAAGAGGAAAATTGATGAAATGATGTACAGATAAGTATTTAACACCAGGGAAGCTAGCAAAAATGTATCATACTGATGATAATAAATACTGGAACTGTAAGGAAAAAGAAGGAACCGTTTACCACATGTGGTGGACGTGCCCCAAGGTAAAAGACTTCTGGGAAAGGATCTACAATGAATTGGAAAAAGTGTTGAAAAACACATTTATTAAGAAACCAGAAGCCTTTTTACTTGGTATAGTGGGGGGAGAAATCCCCAAAAAGGATGTTACTTTTTTTCTGTATGACACATCAGCTGCGAGTATATTATTAGCGAAGAATTGGGAAGAAACAAGATTTACCAACTATCGAAGAACGGCAGATGAAGATGATGGACTATATGGAACTTGGCTGGGAGACTCTGAGACCAGAGAGAAGAGACGGTGGAAGAAGACTGGAAGAAGTTTAAAGAATATTTGAAAAAAATATGTTAATATTTAAATCTTAGAATAGCTTTGGAAGTGGATATAAGCTGTAGGATTAGAAGTAGAAGATAGTGTATTTTAAAATAGTATTATTTGTAAGTGATAAAATGTGAAGATTTTTATGGTAAAAGTAAGTGCGATTTAAAAATGGTTAAAATTATGATATATGAAGCTGATGAAGATGAGGTAAAATGAAAATCAGAGGGGGGGTTCTTGGGGAAGCTCACCTAACAATGTTCAGAAAAAAATAAGGATAAGATAAGAATTTGTTTGTATTGTTTATTTGTGTTATAAAATGAATAAAAAATTTTGAGGGGGGGGGGAAAGAAAGAAAAAAGAAAACAGGATGTTGGACTCGATGGGCCATTGAAGTGATCTAGCAACCGCTTCTCTTGTTCTTATGTCGTGTCCTTAACAGCTATAATACTTAGCGTAGAAAATAAATGGATCATTTGCAAAGCCCCAGAGAGAGATCTCTCCAACATGCCATTCGCTTGGCTCGGGAACAGAGAAAAACGTCAAGCCCCTTCGTCACCTCCCTCCAGACAGATCGCCCCCCACTCCTTTCCCACTCTCTTCCAGATGTCAGCCCCCTCCTCTCCCAACAGCTGGAGCCCATCCAAGGCCCACGAATTGTACCCGCCCAGGACAGAGAACATCTGGCGCGGCTGATTCCTTCTCTTTGCACAGATGTTGGAGGCTTGACATGGCGAGAACGTTCCCAAAGTCAGCGGATTGCTTTGATGTGACGTTTCTTTGCTCCCTCCTTCCCACCAAGTCCATTCGAGCGGATGAAGAATGATAAAATTGTAGAGATGGAAGGGATCACCCGCCCCGGGTCATCTAGTCCAACCCCCCCCTGCAATGCGGGAATCTCAGTTTAAAAACCACCTTTCAGTCTTCTCATTTCCAAGCTAAACATACCCAGCTCCCAGATGTTCTGGACTACGAGTCCAGACGTGCTTCCATCAGCCACCGTTTCATACAACTCTGTGCGGGACTGGGCTGATGGGAGTTTGAAATATACTCAAGAGTGGATTTCATGCTCTTAATTCAGCTCATAGTGGTGAGGAGGAATGGAAGTTCCCCCAGAATGTCTGCTTTATATACATTATTTACACAATGGGCCCCACGTGATTGGCTAATTCTGGGATTCACCTGTAGGCCAATCAGGTTGCAGATTCACTTCCACCTGGAGCTGGATTGGGTGGCTCCTGTGGACCAATCAGACTGCTGCATTCTGGACCCTATTGTTCTAGGGCCAATCAGACTGCTGCATCCTGAATCCTATTGTTCTAGGGCCAATCAGACTGCTGCATTCTCGGTCCTATTGTTCTAGGACCAATCAGACTGCTGCATTCTGAATCCTATTGTTCTAGGGCGAATCAGACTGCTGCATTCTGAATCCTATTGTTCTAGGGCCAATCAGACTGCTGCATTCTCGGTCCTATTGTTCTAGGACCAATCAGACTGCTGCATTCTGAATCCTATTGTTCTAGGACCAATCAGACTGCTGCCTTTTGGATTCTATTCAGCTCAGTACATAACAGTTCCCAAAGTCAGCGGGCCGCTTTGATGTCTCGCTACTTTGCTTCCCAGTTCCCACCAACTCCATTACGAGCGGAGCAGAGACAATTCTGTTACGTTTAGTTGGAGAGGATATTCCTAAAAAAGATGTAAATTTGTTTATGTATGCCACAACGGCTGCAAGGATACTTCTAGCTCAGAAATGGAAACAGCAGGTAATTCCAACATTGGAGGAATGGCAGAGAAAGAGGGTGGAATACGTAGAACTGGCAAAGCTGACGGGGAAATATGGAATCAGCGCAACAGACTGTTTCAAAAGGACTGCAGCAAATTTACTGTATTTTTCACTCTACAGTGGTGCCTCGCAAGACGAAATTAATTCGTTCCGCGAGTTTTGTCGTCTTGCGGTTTTTTTCGTCTTGCGAAGCACGGTGTCGGGAAAGTTTTGGAAAAGCTTCAAAAATCACCAAAGTCTTCAAAAACCTCAAAAAAGGCTACCACACCGCATGCTATGAGTTGCTCCTCGAAGTCAAGTCGCAACTGTATTAACGGTGTTAAGAAAAAGGAAACAAACTTGCAAGACGTTTCCGTCTTGCGAAGCAAGCCCATAGGGAAAATCGTCTTGCGAAGCAACTCAAAAAACCAAAAACCCTTTCGTCTTTCGAGTTTTTTGTCTTGCGAGGCATTCGTCTTGCGAGGTATCACTGTATAGGATGCACCAGACCATAGGATGGCGAGAACAGGGGGGGATTCTCCCCCTCTCTGCGCAGTGCCCCTTCCATTTCTCCTCCCGCTTCACTGAAGGGGCGTTGCGCAGAGAGGGAAAACTGTGCCGCGTCTCTAGCGAAGCGAAGCCAGGAGAGCAAGAGGGATCGGTGTGCACTGACCCCTCTCGCTCTCCAGGCTTCAGACGGCTATCCGCAAGCCTTCGGAGCGCTGCCTAAATCCTCTGGAGCACAGGGGGAGTTCCCACTGTGCTCCGGGGGCTTCAGGCAGCTTCAGCGAAAGCAACGCGAAGCCTCCTGAGCGCAGGGGGAGCTCTCCCTCTGCGCTTCGGAGGCTTCGCGTTGCTATCGCTGAAGCCAAGGAGCCTGCATTCGCTCCATAAGACGCACACACATTTCCCCTTCATTTTTGGAGGGGGGAAAGTGCGTCCTATAGAGCGAAAAATGTGGTATATCATATATGAAAGAGCGTCATAAACATCTGAAAATGTTTGTAGGTTTAAGTTGAAATGTTTTGTAACGTGAATATAAGAAACTGATTTACATATAATTGAGGTGAAGTACAAAAAGAAGATAGCAGGTAAAAAACTGGTTATTGAAAGGCTAAGAATCCAGGAAAGATATCTGGAAGTCAGAAAGAGGGAGGACGGAAGGAGGTTGATGCTCAGTTTGAGCAAGGTTTCAGGTTACAGAATTATGTAATAGAACGTGATCATGATAAATATGGAAGCTTAATTTTTTTAACTCCATTCCGAGTGGATGAAGAATGATAAAATTGTAGAGGTGGAAGGGATCGCGCGGTCATCTAGTCCAACCCCCCCTACAATGCAGGAATCTCAGTTTAAAAACCACCTTTCAGTCTTCTCATTTCCAAGCTAAACATACCCAGCTCCCAGATTTTCTGGACTATGAGTCCAGACGTGCTTCCATCAGCCCACCGTTTCTGGACTGGGCTGATGGGAATTGTAGTCCAAAAAAGGCCTCAAGTGTGGCAGGTTGGCCAAGGGCGTCTCAGCCAACGCCTGCGCAGACAAACCGGGATGCCACCCAACGTCCCCAGCTCTTACCTGGCAGGTTCTCGCAGTGCCAGGGACGGTGGGGGAAGCCACTGGGCGAAATCTCTGCTGTCTGCCAGTAGCCCTGCAAAATGAAAAGAAATAAAATAAAATACAGCCACCCTAAAAATGCCTCGTGGGGGTATGAATTGAGAAAGATGTGGTTTTGTTAAAATCAAGCACCAGAATAAGAGAACCTGTTTATGGGGGACAGGAGGCGGGCAGGTGGGGGGGGGGACTCCCTAGTCCTGAATGGGGCAACTGTGCCCCTGAAGGACCAGGTGCGCAGCCTAGGAGTCATTTTAGACTCACAGCTGTCCATGGAGGGGCAGGTCAATTCTGTGTCCAGGGCAGCTGTTTACCAGCTCCATCTGGTGCACAGGATGAGACCCTATCTGCCCACAGACTGTCTCTCCAGAGTGGTGCATGCTCTGGTTATCTCCCGCTTGGACTACTGCAATGCGCTCTCCGTGGGGCTACCTTTGAAGGTGACCCGGAAACTGCAACTAATCCAGAATGCAGCAGCTAGACTGGTGACTGGGAGTGGCCATTGAGACCATATAACACCAGTCTTGAAAGACCTACATTGGCTCCCAGTACGTTTCCAAGCACAATTCAAAGTGTTGGTACTTTAAATCCTAAATGGCCTCAGTCCAGTATACCTGAAGGAGCATCTCCACCCCCATCGTTCAGCCGGGACACTGAGGTCCAGCTCTGAGGGCCTTCTGGCCGTTCCCTCGCTGCGAGAAGCCAAGTTACAGGGAACCAGGCAGGGGGCCTTCTTGGTGGTGGCACCCGCCCTGTGGAACACCCTCCCACCAGATGTCAAAGAGAAAAATAACTACCAGACTTTTAGAAGACATCTGAAGGCAGCCCTGTTTAGGGAATCTTTTAATGTTTAATAGATTACTGTATTTTAACATTCTTTTGGAAGCCACCCAGAGTGGCTGGGGAAAGCCAGCCAGATGGGTGGGGTATTATTAATAATAATAATAATAATAATAATAATAATAATAATAATAATTACAGTGGTACCTCGGGTTAAGTACTAAATTCATTCTGTTTTTTTTATTTTTTATAATAATTTTTTTATTGCTTCTTTCCAAGGTCAGATACATCGTCCATAATTCAACAAAAGCGACTTTACAAAAAAGAAGAAAAAAAAATCATAAAGAAGAGAAAATTCACATTTTGCAGACAATTTTTCATAATCCACTGGACTTCCTCACATCTTCCACCCCCTGCATTCTTTACCATAAATAAAAAAATAACAGCAAATTAATACCTTGTTTCATGCGTTTTTGTACTTTCATCTATTTGTATTTTAAATTTAGGGTACTTGTTGTGAATTCACTTTTCCCTCAATCCTGAAAATATAAACATTACTCTAAAATTTAGTCCTTTCACTCTCGTAACTTAATTTCCACCATAATCAAACTTAATTGCCGAAGTTTGTTTTCACCAAGCTCAGCAAATTCTCAACATTCATATAACTTATGATATTTTTGCAAATAGTCCTTAAATTTTTTCCAGTCCTCTTCCACTGCCTCTTCTCCCAGGTCCCGGATTCTGCCGGTCATTTCAGCCAGTTCCATATAGTCCATCAGTTGCGTCTGCCACTCTTCCAGCGTGGGTAACTCCTGTGCCTTCCAATATTTTGCTATGAGGATTCTTGCTGCTGTAGTTGCATATAGAAAGAAGGTTCTGTCCTTCTTTAACACTCTCTGGCCCACAATGCCCAGGAGAAAGGCCTCTGGTTTCTTGTGAAAGGTATACTTAAATACCTTTTTCAACTCATTATAAATCATTTCCCAAAAAGCCTTCACCCTCGGGCATGTCCACCAGAGGTGAAAGAATGTTCCTTCAGCCTCCTTACATTTCCAACATTTATTGTCAGACAGATGATATATCTTTGCAAGTTTGACTGGGGTCATGTACCACCTGTATATCATTTTCATAATGTTTTCTTTCAGGGCAGTACATGCCGTGAATTTCATACCGGTGGTCCATAACCTTTCCCAGTCTTCAAACATAATGTTGTACCCAATGTCTTGTGCCCATTTTATCATGGCTGATTTAACCGTCTCATCCTGTGTGTTCCATTTAAGCAACAAATTATACATTCTTGAAAGCACTTTTGTCTTAGGTTCAAGTAATTCTGTCTCTAATTTCGATTTCTCCACCTGGAATCCAATTTTTTTGTCCTTTTTAAAAGTTTCTTGTATTTGGGCATAGTGTAGCCAGTCTCGCACCTTGTCTTTTAATTTTTCTAGACTCTTCAACTTCCAGTTGTCTCCGACTCTTTCTATTATCTCACAATATTTTGCCCAGCCACCCTCCATGTTAAGCCTTTTTGGGGCCTTAGCCTCCATTGGTGATAGCCACCTCGGAGTCTTATTTTCAAGTAAGTCTTTATATTTAGTCCAGACATTAAACAAAGTTTTCCTGACAATATGGTTTTTTAAACAATTTATGAGCCTTTGCCTTGTCATACCACAAATATGCATGCCACCCAAACGCATTGTTAAACCCTTCCAGATCTAGGACATCAGTGTTTTCCAATAAAAACCAATCCCTCATCCAGCAGAAGGACGCAGCTTCATAGTATAACCTTAAGTCCGGCAGGGCAAATCCCCTTCTTTCTTTTGCGTCTGTTAGTATTTTAAATTTTATCCGGGGCTTTTTGCCCTGCCAGACAAACTTCATGATATCCCTCTGCCACTTTCCAAAACATTCCACTCTGTCCACGATCTGCAGGGTTTGAAGTACTAAATTCATTCTGGAGGTCTACCTGAAGCACCACTTTAGCTAATGGGGCCTCCTGCTGCCGCCGCGCCACCAGAGCACGATTTCTGTTCTTTTTTTTTTTTTTTGAAAATTTTTTTATTAGTTTTACAAAATTTTAAGAACAAACAAACACTTAAAAAGACATACAAACACGTATAATTTCATAATGTTTTTCATAAACCTCTTTTCTGAGACTCCCCATACCCCCCCCTTTCTGCATCCCAATGTCCATAGTTTTATAGCAACTCCCAATTGTTACTTTCCAACCTCTGTCCTTAGTTATCTCTGTAATCTGACCTTATATCACTGTATCCCTTTGTTCCTGAAAACCATAACACTCTAACATTCATCAAGTTTATAATAGTCCTTAAGATAACTTTTAAATTTTCTCCATTCTTCTTCCACCGTCTCTTTTCCTTGGTCACGGACACGATTTCTGTTCTTATCCTGAAGCAAAGTTCTTAACCTGAAGCCCTATATCTGGGTTAGCAGAGTCTGTAACTTGAAGCGTATGTAATCCGAGGTACCACTGTATTTAATAAAAATATTTTTAAAAAGGAAGAAAAGAGAGAGATCCAGCAGAACTAGGAAACAGCTTTCACCCGGTTCGCAGGTACTGGCATTCGGGAACATCGTGTTGCCAACTTACCAGGAACTTGCTGGCCTTGTCTCCTTCCAAACTGGCAAAGGTGACCTGCAGGTCCAGGGGCAGAATGAGGCTCAGCACCTCCTCACCGCCACCTTTTTCGAAGACGATGGGCTCCTGGCAGTCGACAAAGAGTGAGATGCGTTGCGGCTCCAGATGGAGGGCCAGCCGTACCCAGAGGCCGTGCGCAAAGGGGTTGCTCCCGGGGAAGACCAAGGAGGCCGGCTCCATGTTGTGGACGGCGCGGTAGTCGAGGCGCAGCCGGCCGGACCGGGCGCTGGACACCAGCTGCAGAAGGGGGCGGCCGTCCCGCTTGGTGGCGGCCGACGAGACCAGGGAGACGAGGGTTCCTTCTGAGGCACGGCTCTGGCGGGCCACAAAGTGGAAGCCGAGGGCCGCTTGAACCGTGGACAGCAGGTAGACAGAATAGTCCCAGGGGAGGGTCAGGTGGGGCACCCGCTGGCGGAACTTCCAGGCTGGCACGCCCGGATCGGGACCCTTGGCCTTGGTGACCCCCACGACAGAGCGGGTGACGTTGAGGGCCTCCAGCAGGTCAATGACTGCAAAAATAAAGAGAGAGAGCAGGAGGGTTGATGAGATGGAGGAGGAAGATTTAATATCTCTTTATCTATTCCTTTATTTTTCAAATATATTTTATTAGATTTCCACAAATGCCGCATAAAATTCCAGTACATGATCAGGTCTGGTATACCTGAAGGAGCGTCTCCACCCCCATCGTCCACCCTGGACACTGAGGTCCAGCTCCGAGGGCCTTCTGGCAGTTCCCTCATTGCGAGAAGCGAGGTTACAGGGAACCAGGCAGAGGGCCTTCTCGGTGGTGGCCCCCGCCCTCCCATCAGATGTCAAGGAAATAAACAACTACCTGACGTGTAGAAGACATCTGAAGTCAGCCCTGTTCAGGGAAGTTTTTAAGGTCTGACGCTGTATTGTATTTAATATTCGGTTGGAAGCCGCCCAGAGTGGCTGGGGAAACCCAGCCAGATGGGCGGGGTATAAATAATAAATTATTATTTTTAAAATTATTTTCCATCCCTTTTCCCGTGGTATTTACCCTCCAACCCCTTTGCTGCACCCCGTCTTCCCTCTTTTCCTTCCCGATGGAAGGAGGTTAAATCCTGCAGGGCCCTGGTCTCCTGGGACAGAGCATTCCACCAGGTTGGAGCCACCACTGAGAAGGCCCTGGCCCTGGTGGAGGATAGTCTGACTTCCTTAGGGACCTCTAAACTATAATTATTCATGGACCTTAAGGTCCTCTGCGGGGCAGACCAGGAGAGGCGGTCCCGTAGATAAAAGACAGCCCTTCTAACTCAACTGGCAGAGCACCAGACCCAGGCTCGAAGGTTTGAGTCCCACGTTTAGGCAAAAGATTCCTTCAGTGCAGGAGGTGGGACTAGGTGAAACCTTGTGGTCCCTTCCAGCGCTACAACTCTATGATTCTATCATTTGTGAAGCACGTCGTTAAACTGTGGAACTCACTCTTTCAGGAGGCAGTGAAGATCACCAAATTGGATAATAATAATAATAATAATAATAATAATAATAATAATAATACAGTGGTGCCTCGCAAGACGAAAAGAATCCGTTCCACGATTCTCTTCGTCTAGCGGTTTTTTTGTCTTGCGAAGCAACCCTATTAGCGGCTAAGCGGATTAGCGCTATTAGCGGTTTAGCGGCTTAGCGGCTATTAAAGGATTAGCGGCTAAGCTGCTAAAAGGCTCTTAGCGGCTTAGCGGCTTTGAAAAAGGGGGGGGGAGTGGGGGGAAAATCGCAAGACTAGCAAGACGTTTCGTCTTGCGAAGCAAGCCCATAGGGAAAATCGTCTTGCAAAGCAGCTCAGAAACGGAAAACCTTTCGTCTAGCGGGTTTTTCGTCTTGCGGGGCACCACTGTAATAATAATTTATTATTTATACCCCGCCCATCTGGCTGAGTTTCCCCAGCCACTCTGGGCGGCTCCCAATCAGTGTTAAAAACAGTACAGCGTTACATATTAAAAACTTCCCTGAACAGGGCTGCCTTAAGATGTCTTCTGAATGTCAGGTAATTATTTATCTCTTTGACATCTGGTGGGAGGGCGTTCCACAGGGTGGGTGCCACCACCGAGAAGGCCCTCTGTCTGGCTGCCTGTAGCCTCACTTCTCGCAATGAGGGAACCGCCAGAAGGCCCTCGGCGCTGGATCTCAGTGTCCGGGCTGAACGATGGGGGTGGAGACGCTCCTTCAGGTATACAGGATGTCTTTGAAAGAGGATCAGAAGGGGCTACTCTGCTCAGAGGCAGCAATGCTTCTGAGCACCAGATTTTGGAAGCCGCAAAAAACCAGAAGCCTTTTTTGCCAGGTATTTTAGGCCAAGACATACCAGAAGAAACGAGGACTTTATATATGTATGCCACTGCAAGCAGTGAAAACGTTGACTGCACAAAATCAGAAGACTGGAGGAATACCCACTAAAGGACAACGGCAAGAGAAGTTGATGAACTATCCAGAACTGGCAAAAAATGACAGATTAAGAGGAAAAGACAACAGCGACTTTGAAAAAGAATGGGAACAGTTTATATTATATTTGCAGAAACAAAGGAAGTCAATAGACTTGATGGCAGGATTCAAATAAACATTCACACCTCGGGTTAAATGTGCTTCAGGTTGAGCATTTTCAGGTTACGCTCCACGGCGACCTGGAAGTAACAGAGCACATTAATTCTGGGTTTTGCCGCTCGCGCATGCGCAAATGCTCAAAATGACGTCATGCGCATGTGCGGAAGCGGCGAATCAAGACCCGCAGACGTGCTTGCACGGGTTGCGTTCGCTTCCGGGTGTGAACGGGGCTCTGGAATGGATCCTGTTCGCATCCAGAGGTACCACTGTATTTACTTTTATTTTTATGTTTTTAGGCTTGATGTTATGTTATTAATAACTTTTTCTGTTAGGAGATAGCAAAGTGGGTGAAAAGAGAAACAAACCAGAAGCGGAAGTTGGGGAAAGCCCTGGAGGGGAGGAATATATAGTGAATGATAAGAAATTGAGATGTATGTGGAAGACACAAGATCTACCCACCCGGGAAGAATGGCAGATGAAGGTGATGGAATACATGGAACTGGCGGAAATGACTGGCAGAATCCGAGACCAGGGAGAAGAGTCGGTGGAAGAAGATTGGAAGAAATTTAAAGACTATCTACAGAGACATTGTAAAATTAATGAATGTTAGAATGATGCTGGATTGAAATTAAGTGGTTTCTAGCTGTAATGGTACTGTATAAAAGAATATGAAAAAATGGTTGTTTATAAGTACAAATTCAAGGTTATAATAATTTAAGATTAAAGATCTGGGTAGAACAAAGAGGGAAAGAAACTGCTGAGCTAATAATTTGAACTGGAATACAAAAAAGGGAGGTCCGAGGAGGTCTGAGAAACAAGTAAATGAAAAATAATGTGATGAAAAGATTGATTGTTTTTAACTACTTTTATTTTGTATGCTTTCTTTTTTCTTTTTCTATTTTGTAATGTAAAAACCCTAATAAAAATATTATAAAGAAAGAAAAGAAATTGAGATGTATGTAATGAATGAAAAAGAAAAATGAATAAATTTTTTTATTAAAAAAACCCAACAGATTTTGGAAGCCGCAGGAAAGGAGAGGGGTCTTGCGTTCGAATCCTGCTTGCGCATCTGACTAGATCCATAGCTGTCAACGTTTCCCTTTTTTTAAAGGGAAATTCCCTTATTCCGAATAGGATTCCTCGCAAGGAAAGGGAAAAGTTGACAGCTATGACTAGATCCTGCAGGCCTCTTCCGATGTTCTTGTGTCCGCATGGCAGAAACGCTTGCCACATCGATGTGGCGCCCTGTGCGCGAGAGAGATGGTGAAGGAGACTCTCCCAAGCCAGCTGTGACATTGGGCGCACATCTGTGCATGCCCTTCGTAGGTCCCTCTGCTGGATTTGCAAAAAAAAAACCCCAAAGTCCGGGGCTGTCACTGTGAATCATTTGCGGGCAGATGCGTCCCCCGGCCCACATAACTTCCGTGTGCAAAAGGCAACGCTCCCTTTGTCGAGAGCTCGGCCAGGACTGAGCGGTGCCCGGGCGCTTTTCCCAGAAAACCCCTCCTGATCCCAGTTTAATTAACAACAGCTGGGGCTGCTCCAATGGAACTGGGGGGAGGCAGACTGGAATGTGGGGGGAGGAGAGAGAGCGTCTAGGCCCCGGATGCCGAGTGGCCTTTGGAATATGTGGTCAACCCTCGGCCTGGAGTTGGGTGAGTGGACTGAGAAAAGACAGAAGTGAAACCCTGCCCCAGCTGCTGCCAATATTTCCGTGCCTCTTTCCCCCCATTGCATTGTAAAGCTGTTTGCAAGCCACGGGAACCAGAAAGACACCATTAAGCAGTTGGTCCCTTACCTTTATGGAGACATGGGTGGCACTGTGGGTTAAACCACAGAGCCTAGGACTTGCCTATCGGAAGGTCAGCAGTTCGAATCCCCGCGACAGGGTGAGCTCCCGTTGCTCGGTCCCTCCTCCTGCCAACCTAGCAGTTCAAAAGCACCTCAAAGTGCAAGTAGATAAATAGGTACCACTGCGGCGGGAAGGCAAACGGTGTTTCCGTGCACTGCTCTGGTTCGCCAGAAGCGGCTTAGTCATGCTGGCCACGTGACCCGGAAGCTGTACGCCGGCTCCCTCAGCCAGTAAAGCGAGATGAGCGCCGCAACCCCAGAGTCGGCCACGACTGGACCTAATGGTCAGAGGTCCCTTTACCTTGACCTTTTACCTTACCTTTCCCGCCCCGACCGTGCCACAGTGATCCATGTGACGGTCAGCTCCAGGCTTGACTACTGTAATTCGCTCTACGCAGGGCTGCCCCGGAAACTCCAGCGGGTGCAGAATGCTGCAGCAAGGCTCCTCACGGGGTCCCTGCCATGGGAGTATATTCACCCAGTGCTTTACCAGTTGCACTGGCTCCCGGTGGAGTATTGGGTCAGGTTCAGGGTGCTGGTTTTGACTTTTAAAGCCCTTTGTGGCTTAGCGCCCTCGTATTTACGGGACCGCCTCTCCTGGTCTGCCCCGCAGAGGACCTTAAGGTCCATGAATAATCATAGTTTAGAGGTCCTGGGCCCTAAGGAAGTCAGATTATCCTCCTCCAGGGCCAGGGCCTTCTCAGTGATGGCTCCTACCTGGTGGAATGCTCTGTCCCATGAGACCAGGGCCCTGCAGGATTGAGCTTCCTTCCTCAGGGCCTGTAAGACAGAGCTATTCTGCCTGGCTTTCAATTTGAATTTAGCCTGATCTTTTATTCCCCTTCCTTCCCTCCCCCTCCCCTTTCTATGAAGATCACCCGCTCTGGGATCCCGCAGCTAATTCTCCCCTGGTCTCCTCGCTGGCCCAAGTAGGACCAACTCAGCCAGCTAGGCCTGGGGATTATCTAATGCTTATTTCCCCAAAATTGATTTTTGAATTTTATTGTTAATCATGTTTTAATACTGTATTTTATGCTGCTTTTATAATTAAAGTGCTTTAAATTTGTTGTTAGCCGCCCTGAGCCTGGTTTTTGAA